TTTACAGACTTGCCGTTAACAGCATTAAAAAGATTGAACAGAAGCTGGAAGGTGTCTGGGGATGTGTTCTTGCCCCAACGGCAGCTGCACCAGAGCTGGCACAGGATGCACACTGTGCAGGGGGCTTCCAGCATGGAGTGGGAGGGGGCAGTAGAGGGCAGCCTGGGTCTTGGGGAAGTTCCTTGTCCTCATCCCAGACTCAGCTTGGTCTTTGGGATGAGGAAGGGACCCAGCCCCCCTACAGACCTCTCACCAAGATAAGAAGTCAAGAGGCCATTTCTGCATTACCAACGCTTCTGCTTTTATTTGGAAAGGAAGTTACAACAGCTGTGGTTCCAAATGCTCTGGGTCATTTTTCTCCTCTCCTCCCCCTGTGTGTATGCAATTCTGGGGTCTATTTTAATTAACTTTAAACACTTAGACAGCCGTGTTAATAGGGATGTCTGAATGAGGCCCTTTGGTTCCAAGAAGATCTTTAAAGAGAGAGAGAAGGTAGGGAGGATGCCAGTAGGTTTTCGGATAAGTAAACTTAGAATGTAAAATATATATCACCATCTTAGAAGCGGGTTTTTGGGTTTGCTTTCTCCCCGCTTTATTGGGGAGGTCTTGCCATTGCTTTTATCAAGTGTTTGCTAGCCATGGATGCCAACTAATTTCTTCAATTGAAGGCCGAAGAATCATGTCTGGTTCTAGGAGCCGCTTGAGCAGGTCCTGGCATTCAGCCGAGATGCCCAAATGAGTAGGGAAGGACACCCCTTTCTGCTGCTGCCACAGCATCTTGGGGATGTCTGCATCATCAAAAGGTAGGCTGGCACAGAGCATGACGTACAGGACCACGCCCATGCTCCAGACGTCACCCTTCTTACTGTCGTGAGGAATCCCCTGCAACACCTCAGGAGCAGCATAGGCTGTGCTGCCACAGAAGGTCTGGCTCAGTTCCCGGCGTGACTTGGGCAGCACCTTGGCAAAGCCAAAGTCAGTCAGCTTCAGGTTGAAACCCTGCAGTAAGGCATTCTCACACTTGAGGTCCCGATGGGCCACACCACAGCCATGGCAGTAGCGAATGGCCTCAACCATCTGACGGAAGAGGGCTTTGGCCTGGCTCTCAGGCAGTGCCCCCCCATTCAGCACACAGTCAAAGACATCCCCTCCTTCAGCCAGCTCCATCACCAGGTAGATTTTGCCATCAGCAGACTCCAGCATCTCATATACCCGGATGATGTTTTTGTGGTCCAGGGTACGGACAATCTGAAGTTCCCGAGGCAGGAATCTCTGGATAAATTCTGAGGAGGCAACAATAGAAGAAGTATAAGTCCAGAAGGGCCTAACTCCTCACTCCTGTCTCTTGCTTTCCAACTTCTCTCTGCCTGTCTGCCCACCCTGTCTGGGTCTTATTCCTTGGCACTCTTTAATGGTCTTAAATGTGTCTAGCTTAGCTGCTTGTACTTTTGTAAAGAATGTTCATCTCTGTTATTATTGAAGTGAATATATCATTCAATGGAAACTCTTCTCTGCCCACCTCAAGGACTGTTAATGAACAGTCTGTGACATCATGAATATGTTATCGTGCTTTGGGGACTTTTACACAAAATTGAATCTCAGTTATGGGACCTGATTTGCCCACTGAGTGGTGAGCCAGCCCTTTCCTTGCTGCCTCCTGACCCAGTTTTCCCCATGAGCCCCATCTTCCTTCCCTGTATTGACACCAGCTCCTGCCCTCCACTATCCCTGGCTGTAGCCTCTGCCCAACTCTGTCCCCCTCCTGGAATAGGAAAGGCATGGAAGACTCAGGCTCTGCCTCTAAAGATCCTTCACCTCCTGCCACTTTAATGTGGACTTTGGAAGTTATGGTGCTCTTAAACTACCTGCATCATTTGGTTCCCACTGACCTACCTACCCCTGAGCTGGATCTGGCCTGCTTTATTTGATTCCACACTGAAAGAGGAAACACTAGTGGCTGGAGGAAGAGCCCACCCACCTCAGCCCACCTTCCCTTCCAACAAAAGGGCCCCAGCTCACCTTCTGGCCCTCCCATCTTGTCTATAATTTTAATTGCCACTTTTCTTTGGTGTTTTTTGGAAAATGCTTCTTTGACTTTTGAGTAGGTCCCTTCCCCAATGGTCTTGCCCAGCTGGTACCCATTGGAGAGCAGAAAGTCCTCCATGCTGTCTAGCGCCTCCTTCCTTCCTATCACCCTCTCAGCTCATGCTGCCTCCAAGAGGCAGCTCTATTCCACCATCGCCCTTGGCCCGCTCCGTTTCCCCACCCCAAGGACTTCATCCGCTGCCGCTTCCAGCGCTAGAACATTCTCCGACTGGACACTGCCACGGGTAGTGGGGAGAGAGAGGGATGGACATTTTTAAACTGGCTCAATTGTGATGTAAATACTGTGACCCTTGGCTAAAATGGGCAGTGGCCCTACCTACCCTTACCACCGCCGCCAATCTCTGGGCCAGTTAGGTCCTGGCCGCCCCACTGCCAGGCAGTGAGTCCTGGCCCTGCCTAGGGTGTCTGCGTGCGGCCAGAAATGCCTGGCTCCTCTGTGTGGACGCTGCCTCCCGGCGGGTCGCCTTGGCTCCCCCATCAGGGCCAAGAGCCTTCCGGCACCCGTCCGTTCCAAGTGCTGGGGTGGCGGGGTTCCCCAGCAGGAAGAACGGGCTCTGTGAGGTCAGCACACCGCTGCCCGGGTCACAATGCAGCCCTCCCCCTCGATGCCCGGGCCCGGACGCGCCGCAGACACCTGCCCGGCTCCACCTGGACCGGAGCGTCCTCCCGCGGCCAGGGCTCAGGCAGCTGCTTCCAGCCCGGGACCGGCCTCGGCCTCCGGCAGGTGAGCAACACCCCAAGAGGCGGGCGCGGGGAGGAGGCGCGCTGTGGCCCGGGAGCAGCCTGACCGCCACTCCCCGCGCAGAGCGCCGCGGGGCCTGGACATGAGCGCCCAGGAGCCCCCGCAAGGTCGGAGATTCCCCATTGAGGCTGGAGATTCTCCTGGCCTTGCCGCCAGCCCCGAGTCCCAGGACAGCCCGGAACCTGTAGCGACGGAGCACAGCCCGGTCAGGTGAGCCTGGTATCCACCCTCCGGTCCTGTGTCCGGGATGGCCCGGCTCCAGTCCCGTCCGCGTCCCACTCTCCAGCCCCGGGACCCCAGTATGGTCCCCGTATTCACACTGGAACCTCAGGGGACCCGAGGTGCACTTCCCCCGGCTCAGCGCCCTATTTGCGCTCTGCCCTCCTCAGGCCGCTTCGACGTTGCCCCGGTTGCCACTGCCTGACGCTACTACACGTGCCTATCGACGTCTACCTGGCCATGGGCGGGAGACCCCGAACCCGCGCCACCTGAGTGCGCGCTGAGCACAGCGGCTCTACAGGAGCCGGGCGGGGACGAGGCCCACCGCGGGCCACCACGCTGAGGTCGCACGCGCCGAGCACGAGACAATGATGCACATTTTAAAATAAAAGAATGATGCACATTTTAATAAAGCACAGCATAAACTGTTCTTTCTACATCGGGCTGGCAGTGTGTCTCTGTCCGTCGGATAGGGCCCGCCGGCAGCTCCGCCCCATCCACTCTACCTAGCCCGGACGCTGTTCTGGGAACCTGCCCGCCTACCAGATCTGCCTTCCTATTGCCCGGTGCCCCTCTCTGTCCCCTTTCTCTCAGCCTTTCCCCTCGGACCCCGCCCTCATTCTCTCCCCTTCCAACTCGGAAAAACTCATTTGTGCTGCACACAGGATCGCTGGAGACTCGGTTACTCATTCAACAGCTAGTCAAAAAGTCGGGCAGTTCGAATTCACCTGCCAGCTGCTTCAAGGGGAAAAAGATGTGGCAGTCAGCTTCCATAATGATTTTTTTGTTGTCAGGTGCCATAGAGTCGGAATCGACTCATAGCGACCCCATGCGCAGCAGAACGAATGATTTACAGCCTTGGAAATCCTATGGGACAGTTCTCTGTCGAATAGCATCTTCAGAATGGATGGCAATGGTGGATGCTGGACACTGGGAGCCCAGAGAAGCTCAGAACTGAAGGGAGTTGGAGAGAAAATGACCACCTACAACAGACCAATTTAATTCCCCCAAGTAGTGTTAGATTACCCAATAAGGAAAGTAAACACTGGCTTACCTGTGTTTATTAATCTATAGTGAACAATTTCACATTTTCACCATATCACTGGCATCTCTTGTCGCCCAATCCTAGGGCACCTTCCTACAGAATCAAAGCCTCTTGTCTAATTTATAATGCCCGATAGGCTACCCAGTAAGCCAGGTAAACATTCACACCCAAACCTCACGTGCATTTCCCCCACCTTGCCCCCAAGCTAGAATTAGGTTTGTGTCAAATGCGTGTGTAAAGACAATAAGGAAGACTAGAAGAATTGAGCATTTGAGTTATGGTGTTGGAGAAGAATATTAAAGGTACCAAGGGCTGCCAGAAGAACAGAAAAATCAGTGTTGGTGGAAGTACAACCAGAATGCTCCTTAGAAGCCAAGGTAGCCAGACTTGTTCTCTCATACATATTATGTTATCAAGAGGCACCAATCCCTGGAGAAAGATAACTGAGCAGTGTTTCATTCTGTTGTGCATAGGGTTGCTAGGGGTTGGAACCAACTTGATGGCACCTAACAATAACTATCTTCTGCTTTGAGATGTGGACACCTCTGGTTTTGTCTGCCCCTGTTCCTCTTGAGCCTTTTTTTTTTTTTTTTTGCAAGGTGGTGAGATCACAAAAAGAAAAAAAAATTGGAGAAAGAAGTCTTTGAAAACCTGGTTTTAGCTTCTTATGTGACAGGTAAGGGAACTGGGCCTTAAGAAACTTGCCTGGAAATGGTCAGGTCCCCTCAGGGGAATACACAAGCAGGCTTGTAGTCTGGCTGGTGACCACATTGGTCACTGATAAGGGGAAGTGGAGGGGGGAAACAGCAATGAAGTTGTGAGCTAAGTCTGACCACGTTCAATAGACTCCTGTGAACCCAGATTGAGACCTGGTTGGCCAGGTTGTAAATGGAAAGACCAGCAGTATGGCAAGACCTGGGGACTCCTGGGCCCAGAGACAGTGACATGGCCACAGAAGACTAGAGCAGAGAGTGAAGTGTCCAGCTGATATGAAGTGAGGAGAGATGCATAAGAATACACATACTTGCAGATAGTAATCCATTGAAGCCAGCTTCAATGGCTGGATGATCAGTAACTCAACTAGAAGAAGAAAGAAGAGGGGAAAAAAGAGTAACCTGCTACAATTTGATGAACTTGACCTATACTTATGGATGTAGTAGCTCAAAAGAGGGAACAAATCTTTACAGCAAGTATCATTCCCACTCCCTCAGTACACAGGGTTGACAGAGATGGGCAACTTACACACTGGCTACCCAAAATTGGTGGTGGGGGGCCCTACAAAGGCAAGAAGTGACTGGTTTACGAGCTTTCAAGAGGGAGCCTAGTTCCAAAGGGTGCAGAGGAAGGTAGAATCACCACTGAGTAGTGTATCCAATCTGTCTGGACGGGGCTGATGAAAGGAGATGGGGATAGGTCTCTTGTGGTACAATAGTGAATAATTGTTATCAGGACTGACTGTGAGGGTTGTAAATGTAAAGGTAGACATTTTGTAACAAAAGGAGGGGAGTGATTGACTTTGTAGTCCAGGAATGGATGTCCCCAGGACCATCAAGGGAGAAGAGCCGAGTCCGGGACCTACTCAGAGAAGCAGTGATGCCAGAGATGGAGGCAGAGATAGGGACTCTGGACTCAGGAAGGGATAGGGGCTGTGTGCTGGCGACCAAGGGGCAGGCTTGCGGAAGTGTACCCTTTGGTTGCTTGATGATGCATGGAGAGGATTGTAATCATGGCAATGAAACGAAATACGATAGGATGAATGTAAAGCTAATGTTCTCCCATGCAAACTATCACATAATTCACAATAAAAACTTTTTAAAAAAAGAGGAAACTTGCCTGGGATTCCTCCTGATGATAGATGCACTCCTACAACCTTAGGAAGACAATATCCTAATCCATTCATTAAAAAAAAAATCCAGGGGGTACAGGGGAAGGATTACATGGAGGGGATTGTAACCATGGCAATGAGACCATATATGATAGAATGAATGTAAAACTAATGTTCTCCCATGTAAACTATCACATAATTCACAATAAAACATTAAAAAAAAAAATCCACTGCCATCTAGTTTAATCTAATTCATAGCAACCCCAAAGGACAAAATAGAACTACCCCATAGGGTATCCTTGGCTGTAAATCTTTCGAATCTTTCTCCTCTAAGTGTGGTAGGTTTGAATTACCAACCTTTCTGCCAGCAGTTGAACACTTAACCACTGTACCACCAAAGCTTCTTTCTAATCCATCCCTAGGAGGGCTCCAACGCCAATATGAGTAGGCTGTATGGAAGTGGTAGCATTTGAGTATTTTCTACTTCCCAATTTCCTTTAATGAACTTATATCATTTTAATTAAAATAATAACACAGGCTCATTTTTATTATTATTTTTTAAATTAGTGAAGGATCAGTAAACATTTCCTTGTGTTATATATAAGGTCGCTATGAGTCAGAGCCAGCGCAACCATGGCAACTAGCAACTATTTTTATAATGGGAATAAACATATGTACATACCCTCAACATGGACAACTGACCCAACATTCCTCCCCAAATCCAAGTGGGGTAGAAGCCCAACCCTCCCAAGGCACTTCAGAATCCCATAATCACTGAAAAGCAATACCTTTTTTGATTTCCACTCAAAATGCCCTCCCAGGCAGTCCGAAATGTAGGTGAGTCATTGAAAGGTCGGAGGGTATTGCCAAAACAGGGTCAACTTTGAAGTAAGGACTTTAGACTTGACTTTTCAGGCTCTTGGTTCTTGAAACTTCTCAGCACTGAAAAGTCCTTTCATGCCTACCATTCCCCTTCACTAAGAGAGTCCCCACCTCCAGGCTATGATGCTGGCTCCTCTCTCCCCTTGTCCTTCACTCCTCCCACCCTTACCTTCAAACTCTGTTCTTTTCAAGAGATCCAGTTCTTTCCATCCCCAACACCCCATGCTGCTGTGCTCCAGAACAAAAAGACCTCCTTCCCCATAAACAGTGCTCACCCTCCTTAGGAGGCTGCTGGAATTTTTTTTAATTGATCACTGTGTTGATAAACAATAGAAGCTAGGTTAAGCCAGAAATTTTTTAAAAGGATACAATGGTGCAAATGTCTGGGAAGTGTATTAATGTGTGATTCATAGCATCACAGGATTAAAAGAAAGAACTGTAGGAACCACCATAGTGTCTAATGGACTAAAATCAAGGGTTCAACTCTACTAGGACTCCCACTTTGTCCCTCTCTTGTCCTCAGATTGTCTTTGAGCAGGGAACATGATTAAGGATGCTTTCTCCTAGTCTCAATATACCTATCCCTAGGAAGGACAGTAATTGGCCCTTCTTAAATCACATGCATACCAGGCTGGGCCACAGACAGGCCGACCCTTGAGTTGGAAGCAACACCAGGTGATTGACAGCGTCATCAGAAAATACAGAGCAGAGATGAAGAACATTCCAGAAGGGTAATGCCTCTGTTCCATGACAGAAGGAGCCTTGGAGTCTGAGCAGGAGTTAAGTTACAGGGTTCTAGTTGAAGTTTTGTCCCTGATCAGTCACCACCAGTCAACCAGGCAGGTCTGTGAAGGGTGACTCAGCAGTGAACTTGACAGACACTTCCCTGGCCCTCATGGAACTCATATCTCCCTAATGGGAAGCCTCAGGCAAGTTCCTTCCTTTTCTTCAGTGGTCAGTCTCTATGGACCTGACCAGCTCCAAAATATTGACTCTGTCCCATGCTTTTCTCTCTTCTTCTCAACCATCCTTTCCTTTAAAAGACATTTATTGCCACCTCCCACAGGTTTGGTGGGTGTGAGAGATGCAAAGATTCTAGACACAGACTTTGCCAATGGGCCAGATTCTGGGCCTATTTAACTCTAGCATGTTCATGGACAACAGGAAAGAGCATTCTAGGTGGAGGAAACATTGTGTGCAAAGGCCAAGCCTGGGGCTGAAAAGTCGAGGGCTATTTCAAGAAATTCAGTTTAATCAATTTTCACCAACACTTACCTGGTCTAGGACAGGTGCTAGGAACCCAAGCCTGAATTTGACCCTTGCAGAGCTCAGAACCAGAGGTTAACAGAAGAGAAGGGAGGCTTTCCAGTACCAGATCAAGGAATTTGAACATTGTTCTGGAAGCAACAGGGAATGACAAGCTCCAATCTGGGTTGTTTCCTCTCCCCCACTTCCATCCTGTTCTCAGTTTCTTCTTCCTCTTTCCTCCTAAAAAGGTCAGTAGTCCTGAGTTCAAGTCCTGACTGCTGTTTACTAGCAGTGCACCCTTGGCTACTCAGCCTCTCTGAACTGCTATCTGTAACATGGGGCTAGTGACACCTGCCAGAAGGGTTCAGTAAGGTCACCCTAGTACTGCACCAGGTGGCAATCTGGGTCCAGGTAGCACTTAATGAGCAAGAGAGT